AAGCTCATCTTATTGACATTGCCGATAAGTCCTTTTTGTGTCAACATGTCAACCAACCTACCCGTACCACATATACAACAGCAAGTATCCTTGACTTGTTATTTAGTTCAATTTCGAATAGCATTGAGCATATCGAAGTTAAACCTGGCATAAATGATCATGAAGCAATTTTTTGTGTTAAAGACCAATCCAAAGCAAAAGTCCCGTCCTCGTTAGAGAATTTATCTCTACTACAAACCTGATTTTGATGGAGTGAGGGAAGATATGATCATTCAGGATAACTTCACTAAGGCTCATAGTGTAAGATCTGCTAGAGATGTGCACATTCCCTCTCGGATGTAAAAACCGCAGCAGAATGTGCCATGGTTCCACAGTAAGATCAGAAGATTGATTAGAGTTAGAAATAGAATTCACAAAAAGCCAAGAAACTGCTACATTGGAGTCATGGGAGAGATTTAGAGCTGCTAGAAAGCTCGTCAAACGGGAACTCAAATATGCACACCAGTATTAGGCCTATGTTTAAAAGGTGGTAGACAACTTGAAGGAGGACCCCAGCGGGTTTTGGACATACATTAAAAGCAAGAGGTCAGAGAACCAAAGTATACCCACTCTGAGAACTGATGGAGTCAATCACGTAACTGATAAAGAGAAAGCTTGCGCTTTGGCGAAGCAATTCAAGTCAGTTTTCACTACAGAGCATAGATAAGATTCCTCTTTATTTATCTGACATACCTGTTGTGGAGGATATCATCATTTCAGTGGAAGGGGTGTTGAAATTGCTCAAAGAAATCAACGTTACCAAAGCCAGTGGCCTGGATGATATCTTTTGGAAGAAGCTACTGAAGAGGTGGCGCCAGTCTTGTCTCAAATATTTCAGCAATCTCTCGATACTGGCGAACTGCCAGAAGACTGGTTGCTAGCAAATATTTCTGCCCTGTGCAAGAAAGGCGATAAGGCTACTCCTTCAAATTATAGACCAGTTTCCTTAACCTCAATATCATGCACGCTTCTTGAAGATACAATTCATTCGTAGACAAGTAGACACCTTGAAGGGCATGATATCTTGACTACTAAACAACATCAGGGTTTTAGGAAGCATCACCCTTGTGTCACCCAACTAGTTTTGACAACTCACGACCTGGCTGAGGCAGTAATTGCTGGTAAACAAGTGGACATAGCCATATTTGACTTCTCCAAAGCGCTGATACTGTCCCCCATGAGCGTCTGAAAGCTAAGCTTCATGTGTATGGAATACGTGGAAAGCTACTGAGGTGGATTACCAACTTAAGTTCAGATGCGTAAACGAAGAGTGGTGTTCAATGGATCTAGTTCTGATTGGGATTCCGTGGACTCCGGTGTGCCACAAGGCACAGTCCTCGGTCCTCTTTTATTTTTGCTTTACATCAACGATATCACAGACAATCTTCAGTCAGAAATTCGTCTTTTTGCTGACGAATGCATTTTATATAGAAATATCCACAACCGGGCTGACTGCATCACATTTCAGGAAGATATTGATGAACTCCATGAATAGGCCTCTACATGGCAAAAATTGCATTTAATGCAATTTAATATAAAGAAATCCTACACCATGCACATGGGAAACAAAAGGAAAAATATTTGCAGTTGTTATAAACTGGATAATCATTCTCTGGCAACGGTGGATCATCATCAGTATCTGGGAGTCTTCCTCTTCAAAAATTTAAATGGGATAACCAGTATGATTATAATAATGGTCAAGAAGACTAACCACGTCCTAGGCATGTTGCGTAGGAACTTAAAGCAGTGCTCGAAAATGGCGTGAACAATTGCTTATTTAGCACTCGGTCGTCCGCGCCTGGAGTACGCTTCAGTAGCATGTGATCCTTTCGAGGCTAAATACACCAATAAGTTCGAGGTGGTACAACGACGTGCAGCATGCTTTAATTATTAACAACAACTTTAGTAGAGAAGCTAGTGTAACTGATATGATCAAAAACCTTGGGTGGGATACCCTAAAACAGCATCGTGAAGCTGCTAGATTGATCTTGATGAAACAAATGCATATGGTACATCTGCTATTCCGAAGTCTATTGTCAAGCATACTTCCACAAGACCACGTAGAAAAGTCACTAGAAATAGTTCTCAACTTGATTTGCAGCACAGCAGAACTGAATTCCTTTGTACTCAGAACATGTAGAGATTGGAACAGGCTTCCTGACACCATGGTCTCAACAATATCAATCAGCTCTTTTAGGGATCAGGTTCTTGAGTTTATCAGATCCAGGGATAGGAACTTATATCAATTTTGTGTCACTCAGTCTTCTCCTGTGGCTCTACATGGATTCAGTGAATCTGTTGCTACGTACTGAAAAAGAAGAAGAGGAGAAGAAGTCAGAGCTACACCGCGCCGCGCCGCGAGACTGAGAATTACTACGCGTGCGAAACGTCTGCAGAATACGAATTGCTCCCTTATCCGATTTCTTGCAGAAACATAGCTCGGTTGATTTTAAATCTCATACCTCCCCCTTTTATAACTTGATTAAGGGCTACAAAATCTAATCTTTCAAGTGGACTTACTTCATCAATCTAACACGAAAATAACAACTTCTGTGTAGCAAAACGAGGGGGGGCAAATTAGATAGAGGGGCCAGAATAAGTGGAGAGGGACAGATTTACCGGATCGGGGGGACACTTTTACCTAGGTAAATCTGTCCCCCCAGGACAGTTTTACCGGGGGACAGATTTACCGTCTACAACTGCAATATTCGCGACCAGAGAGCGAGTCGTGAATTTCTGCTGAAGGAATTTTTAATCCGCCCCGAGCTGAAGTGCACCATCAATCTGCGAAAGAAAGACAGGCAGTTACTAGTCTTGGCCCAAGACGTCAGTGATCGATAGTTGATTTATTTCTGTTGAAGAGCGCCCTCGCACACCAAGATTTTACTTACTCTCACTAAGTTAGTGCGAGTTGGCGCACGGTCTAATTGTGAGTCGTTAGGGGGCGCACTGTGCACGGTGTCCGCTATCAAGCACTAACGTCTTGAAAACAAGACTAGGTAGTTACAAGCAGGTTCTGGCACCTGTCTAATTGCACGCGTTCTGCGTGTACACAAAATTTGTGACGCGTACTCAGCGTGCTCAGCTTCAAACGTGCATACACACCTCATTGAGCACCTCTGCGGTGATTAAAAAACATTCTTTCGTTCCGCTCGGAGCGGAACAAAAGAATGTTTGTTATTATTTTTTTGTGCTGGACCTTTGATTTGTTGTGATGGTAATGAGTGCATAGTGTTGTGATGGTCATCTAACTATTAAAGATAAACTTGTTAAGGATGCAGAGTTCGAATGCTTGCACGTGGTTGAAGCTGCCATAGGTATACATGCGATCACCGTGGTAAGGCAGTCCACACGTGTTGTATTGTTTACATTTAGTCACGTGGGTAAAAAAGGTCAATAGGCGTTGACGGGGTGGGGTGGGTCGGCGTGCTTATCTCAATGTCCTCCAGCAATAGTGGCCCTTTGCCATAAAATGCAAATTGGACTGACGCATGCGAGCTACTACCACAGATTGGCAAGCGCCGCGGCCGTCGACACTGTCGGTAGCGTAGGCGATCTGCTAGAAACCACTAACTGGAGCGTTACGTTGAAGGTCAATCAAAACTGCATTACAGCTTTTGCCCGATACTTGAGCACCCATTTTTTTTCTCGAAACTAAGTGAAGTTTTTAGTCTCCTGGGATTAGAAAGTAACAATTCCTTGACTTCAAGTTTTGCACCCATGTCAAACTACACTAGTACAGAAACGGCAATAGTGCTAGTGGCGCACGCATGGAGATTTGTTTTGTTACGTCATTGATTTAACTTTTAAGCAACTTTGCCAACCAGTTGTAGTAATGCGCATGCGCTTGCATTATTTGCATATTTCATCGAAAGGTTCATCTTGCTGTGCATATAAATGGTACGGACGGGCGATTTGCTGTTGAATCGTCCTTTTTAGATTTCATCTTTTGACCATTATAAAATGGTTAACATTTTCACGAGGAGTGAAGTGCCTATAACAACTCTGAATCTTTATCCCCCGATTTTTTTTCTATTCACCATTCTTTTCCGGAAGTGACTTAATACTAGCCCGTGAAACCTGGTGCGCTACTTTTTTTTCAGTAGGTGGGGTGACCAATGATTCATGAAGAGGGCACAATGCAATACACCATTTGAGACATTTCAAAAACGGAATCCATTACGTCGTTTCGATAGCTTAGTTGGTAGTGATTTGAACAACAGATCCATAGTCCCTGGTTCGAATCCGACCCATTTGTGCTATTCATTTTCCAATTTTATCATTGTGTTTGGGATTTCCTTTTTCAATTGATGCAGAAACAGAGTCCAAGCATGAACCCTCTAAGAGTCTTGAGAAAAATAGCAGACCAGGTTTCACGGGTTAGTATCTAGTCACTTCCTTCTTTTCCCTTATGCAATATCCCTATTTTTAGGCCACCTATTAAGGATGCTAGTCTCTTCGTATTCATGGTTTTGCTTTTCTATACTTCTTATTCTACTTTCTTTTTTCCCCAGTGATTCTCTTACCATTATAGTTTTCTACCGTTAATGTTTTTTGCTCCACTTTGAGGATGGATTAATTGGCTTTCAAGCTACAGTGGTTTATTTTCACTTTTATTAATCCTGGCAACCTTAAAGTGGGTTCTTTTGGTTTGTTGTTTGTCTTTTTCTCTTTAATATACATGCTCTAGTTTGTTTTGTTCACTCTTGTTTGGCCGAATAAATAATAATAATTTTCTTATCAATGCATTTCGAAATCTGGCTGGAAGAAACACACGTGATTGGAATCTGGTCGGCGCATCAGCAGGCGCTAGGCTGGCTGGTTTGAAACCGTGCCGTTTAAACAAAGATGATAATATAGCGCCAAAGATGTTTACGTTGGCAGCAATACGCTTCCGTAGGTAATAGAATGATCAATTATTTCCACTGGTCCCACTTTCCAAAATATGCAGTGGAAGCATGTAATACAACTACCAGCGGCAGCTTCAGCGCCATGTTTTTCGTCTTCTTTTCTTTCATGTTGCGAGTGCGACGCTTATCGTTAAATTTGCGGCTTTTTCACATTAAATAGTTGTTGTTGAGGCTATAAATCAGCTAAATGGCAGGAACAGGGGCGAATAGTATACCTCTGGGTACCCTGCATCCCATTTTACGGGGTCAAAAGGCACCTGGCATGGCTGGAGGTGGTTTAACGGGCCCGATAGGCGGCGGCGGTGAGAGCTCCATGTTGAATGCTGCGAGAGAAGCTGCTGCTAGAGTCACGGCGAATATCATGGGGAAGCGCCCAGCGCCAGCAGGGCCGTCACCCAGTGGGCCTGGGGGCCCTGGAAAGTCCATAGGTACTTAAGTTTGACAACAATATTAGAGTAGTCCTACTTCTTTAGTTGTTTGTGTACTTAGTGTAGCGTGTAGATGCACCATGTCCACACTAAGATTAGAATCTGGGCCTCATTTTGTACCCGGGACAACTCGTACCCCAGTCAACTCGTGCCCTAGTCAATTCATTCCCGAGTCAATTCGTACCTCGGACAATTCGTACCCTTGTATCAATGGATAATGGCTGCTTGCTTGCAAAGAATCAACTTTTTAATTAATTTTAATTGATTAATAATGTTCCACAATCCTCTCCTTCACTTAAAAAATCCTTGTAAGTTGGGCCACCGCGTGAACCAAAATTAGTTTTCCTTCCTGAGTTGCCTTTGACTGAGCACGAGTCCTACTCTGATCAATATTCAATCAAAATCTTTGCACGGCCATTTCTGACATCATTGGCCTAATATGGAACATAAGGGCATGGCTACCGGAGATTGGGAAACATAATGCTACATGTAAGTTGGAATAAACATAAGCACAATTGGATGTAGTGAGAATTTGGAAGTCTTAGAATTGTTGTGCAGAGGAAATGCCATATGTTGCGTGTTCTCGGTTGATCAATAGTGATATCTTACCACATGCTTTTTACAACCATGCGTGATGCAGGGCCATCGTAAGTTTATAGCACATGTCCGGAACGTCAGAGCGGTACTGTTGCGGCACAACTCGTTATCCATTTTTTGTTGTGTTTGCTTTTTTATCATGTTTTCTTGCGTGCATCTGTGCGCTACCAATGTCATGTCATATTAAAACTGAACATCCGAACCGACCAGTTTGGTTCTGTTCAAAAGTGCAATGTTCGACGATTTGGTTCGGTTTGACGGTTTGGCTGCAGCACTATTGTAACGTATGGAGTATGAGTTGCCCTGGGTACAAGTAGTCCTGGGTACGAGTTGACGTGGGTACGAGATGACCTGGGTACGAATTGACTTGGGCGGGAGTTTGGGGGTATGACTATGAGCTGACCTGGGTATGAGTTGTCCCGGGTACGAGTTGACTTGATTTCCATTAGCCCCAGACTGGGAGCCAGTCTACTGGACTCCCTGCGTATCCTACGAGATATATATGCAACCATACGTATGAAGCCAAACCACGATGGTTGTGTTTGTATTGCGCATGCCTAATGTGTATTAGACTTAGGTTGCAGCCGTTCATCGTTATATCAACAGTAAAAACACCATCAATTTGTGTGAATTGCAGTAGTCAAGCGGTTACGGCATAATGATTTGTGATGCAAGGTGTGTGGGTTCGAATCACGGGTCGGAATTGTGTGCAGGGAGGTTTTTTTTTTTAAGGAAAGTAAAGCCCGAATGCTATTGGAGCCTAATTTCACACGTGAAGTTTTTATGGTTGGTTGAGCATCTAAAAGTCATGCATTGTGCATGGTTGTGAACCGTGGTTTGGCTTCATATGTGTGATTGCATATATAGCTCTATCCTACCGGTAGGCCCCCACAGCGGTCCATTAAAAAAGTGGGGACTCAGCGAAAATGCCTTCTATGAAACCCCCTTTGCATTTACGGATCACTCACCCATCAATTCTCTGATGTATTAATTTGGGCGATTTCCCAGTCGCAGAAGTTCATGAAATTTTTGTTTTGATTTGGGCCGTCCATTTACCATGTTTACTACAGTGATTAACTCCCGATGGCTAACCGATGCCAAATACAGTCAGGATCTCTTTGGTCTGGGAACCACACAGAGTTATTACGTAGATCCCCAGAGCATAACACTGCCAATGAACGCTGATGAATGATGAACCAAAATGCATACGATGCTTGGAATCGAGTCTTAACTCATTGCCAAACAGCGTCGCATGTGTGGAGCGCATACCATTCACTTATCCAATCCCCATCCCACACGATGATGACGCGCACCCATGAAATGGAAAATACCCAACGGCTGCTGTTTTCAACACGTTCATTGCATTCACGCATACATACACGTACAAGGCTTCATTACGAGCGATACACAGTTGCTGATAAAACAGCAGTTTGGATCATGGTCTCTAACGCTGTCTGGTTCCCAGACCAAAGAAAAGAGATCCCGACTGTGTCTGGCATCAGTCAGCCATCAAAGTTAATCGTTGTAGTAGACGAATGGCCCAAATCAAAAACAAAATTTCAAGGACTTCTACGAATTGGAAATCGCCCAAA